ACTGCTGTCACATCGCAATTATGAACACAAATTGCACATATATGTGAACACTTATGGCAGTTATGAACATATATGAACACTTGTGGCAATTATGAACACAAATTGAACATATATAACATTTGTGGAAATTATGAACACAACTGAACATATATGATTTCTATTGTTCGTAACCGATGTCATTGAATACACATTTATCTTTTACATAAATACCCTTCAACAATTATGTTCACATATGTTTGTGAGATTACACATTTAATAAATTAAATTTATAATATGATTAATCTCAATCCTTTATTTTAAAACCAATGGTCATGATTAGCTCATAAAGTTAACATAATAAATAAGGTTAACAAATGAATTTGCCCATATATATATATATTTGTTAGGTACTCGTATAATGTTGTGAAATGTCAAACTTTTTTGAAAATCAATACATAAAGTTTAGGCCCATTATGAGTTTAAAGTTCGTGATAGGAAGATTAAATCAAAGTTCTTGATATGATCACAATATCGTTTTTCAAGATAAAATAGAGATGAGATGGGCCCATTATACAAACACAAAACTCAAATAACATACATAGATCGTTCTACATTTAATCCCGAGTTATCATTTTTACTACCATCGTTACGTTCATTGGTGGTGCTTCAAATCCTGAGGTGTTAGTGGTTGTCGAGAACAACAACTAAGTTCACCATAGGGGGGATTCGCTGGAATGGTTCCGGAAAGTTCTGGTAGAGAGTAGAGAATAGAATAGGCTGTGATGCGGGAGATATATTTTTTCTCTAACCAATTATCACTTCTCCCCCCTATAGTTATAGCTGTACTGGTAAATACTACTCTTGACAATACAAATTATGTAGTGTCGAGTAAGGTTGAGTCCAATTCAAATTAGTATGAAAGTAAAATAGGAGGGGGTTTGAGATTCAATATCGAGTTCGCTTTAAAATTATCTATACAAATATAAGTTGCAAGAGTTGAATAATGTACTATATCAACATTGATTCTTTTCATTGATTAGCAAAATATGAACTCTTCCAATCATCCGTAAATTGGTTATGGTTGTTAACGAGTTCTAACAGCTTATTTCTCTTTAGGCACCTGATAACCAAAACAATAAACAGCTACTATCGATTTAGTTTACTAACAACATTACGACTTAGAAAAAACAACCAAATTTAGTCAATGAATACACAAATTTGATCAATTTAAATGTAATTATACACAAAAATCATACAGTTTCGTTGAATCAAAACCTTAATCAACCAATTTGTTGAAAATAACATTTAACTATCCATGAAAATTTAAGACAACCCGATGAATCCAAGTATCAAAATGAAGAAATCAAGCAAAGAAGAACAAGATTCTTCCTTCTGTATGGAAAAAGAGATGCTCTTAGGTTACGTCCCTCCAGAAATGTCTAAACTGCCCCTTATATGGCTCAATTGTATTAGCTTTCAAATTTTACTATGTTCGTCTATGATCAAAAAGTGTGCCTCTTGCACACGATCGTGCAGATTCTTTGTATTATATTTAACACGATTGTGTTGTTCAACCAGCATCTCCCTTATATTTTTTGTGTCCAAGTTTTAAGTTTTGTCTTGTCAGGATCGACCGAAATTCACATGTTTCTATTCTACGACTCAGCGTAGCAAAGAGAACATGAGATTGGGAGCATTAAAACACATCAAAAATAATACATCAATGAACTAACTGTAGCTGGTTGGCTCAAACCAACCAAATAACCGCCATTCAGAGACGACATTTCCTTCCCTTGTGGGATGGAACCTCCCATGGAAATTTACTCAATTTCCCGGATGTTGCTAGGAAATTTTCCTTTTTAACTATCTAAGTTGGAACTACTTATTTGCCTATAGTAATATCCACAAATTATTAATGCTAGTTGTTTTTTCTTACCAAAATATTTCCTTCTTTTGTTGAAGGTGTTGGTCTCAACCACCGGATTTGTAAATAATACAATTATCATCCTATTCAACACTTAGAAAGAAATTCTTATTAAGCCTTGTAATGTGATAACTCTCATTTTGAGTGTTATTTAAACTTCATTAGTGTGTCTTTTTATTCCCTTTTAGTATGTCTTCTCCTTTCATATTTCTGTGTTTCCCCTTTTTATTTATTTATTTATTTTCATTGGAGTTGTTGGGAATAAAAGTTTATATTTTGATTAGTGTATATGTCGTTTTTGGAGCTAGTATGTCATTGTAGCTAGTCACCACGATGGCAAGCAGTAGTTGCAGCTGCAGAAAATCCTTATTGAAGATTTATTGCCAAATATGTGACAATGCAGGTTTCAGGCTTGGTCAGTGTTGGATCTTGCATAGAAGTGTTGAGAAAGAAGACAATGAGGATGAGACAAGCTTGGGGTTGAAGACAAGCCTTGAGAGGTCACTTTCTTCCCTCTCAAGTCACTTTCACCCCTTCTCTTCTCTTCTATTATAAAAAATCTATTATAAAAAGAGGTTTGGGCATTTCATTTGAATATCACAGAACATCTTTTGTAATTGAGAAGCAGCTTCAAACCCTTTAGTTCTTCTATTTGCTTTCTAGCTAGTTTTAATTTTAGCTGTATTTTATTTTTTGTTCGCTTTGTGGGACTTGACCACAGTGGCAAATTTACGTTTAATGCAATTTATGTTCGAGTATTTATGTTCTTGCATTATGTTTTTACTAATGAGAAGTAGCTAAATTGCCCTTGGATATAGGTGTAAGCCAAACCCGAGAGGTCAAAATGTAACACTTAGGTGTTACCACTTTTTGTTAACTCTTCGGTTTGGTCATTCGGGTTGAAGCATTAACTAAATGCCAACAAGTTGATCACTTATAAGTGTTAATATTATATTTTTGATCCAGAGATTGACGGATCCGAATTAGGGCTTGAATGATGCAAAGAGGTTTGAGAAAATCTTCAATAATCGCATAGAGATATGGGTTTTTACATAACCAGATTAAGGTTCAGTTGTCGGTCGAGTGGGTATGTCATAGAGATATGTGCATCTCTCCATATTGGCAAAACTAATATCTTCGAGATCTACTTAGTGTTTGGCAAACCGAAAGTTAGCATTTGTGAAAACTTTATGAGAAAACCATAATCGCAACCCATACGATGTAGCTTCGAGAAGAGAAAATCAAATGGGATTATTTTGTAACCGTTTTTATCAACCATTTAAGTTACCATTATACTCTCGGGAAAACTTACACCCATGCCCGCTTTTAAAAAAAATATTTTTAAGGTATCAGAATCGTTTTTAGAACTCTAAACTTTGCACCGGAAGCTCGTAAAAATCTTTGATTCTTAGTAGACTAGTCCCTGTGGAAAACAGTCTTTGGAAATTACCATTGTATTACTTGAAAAAGAGAACTCAATAGTGGTTTGCACTTGCACCACTATTGTGTCACGGTTTACGTATGTCATTTTTGCTATCATAATGCTCATATTCGATATACAACATTAATCGGATATGAGACAAGAGGACTAACATTTGAACCTTAGAAATTTGTTAGGTTCAAAGCTTCGGATATTAATCACCATCAGCTCCATAGCTCAAATGAAATGTGAGATTAAATCTTAGTTTTGATTATTCTCCATCTGAATGGAAGAATTCAATTAACCTATCTTCATGGTCACTCAATCTTGATTTTCAAGAACCCATATTTTACTCTAAGATCCTATATTTTAACTTCATAATTTATGTAGAGCTGGAATCAGATCTATAGATTATATTTCGGAGCAGAAAAGATAGGATTTTTCTTTGTAAAAGTCTTGCAACTATCTATATTGATCTAAAAACAAAAAGCTTTCAACAAAACCGAAGACTAGTTGAACTGAGTTCAAGATCATCATTAGAGCAGATTGGTATGTCATCTAGCCAAAAGAAGATTAATACAAGATAAAGTCAAACAGTAGTCTGACATGTACTACTACTGGCAAGACAGATTTTGAAGTGCAAACTTGTCCATCAAGTTTGGCTCACTAACTCTACCAAAACTCGTCCTATATGGGAGCATACTTAGCATGTCAGCCAAAGTGTGTTCTAAAATACTATTTTAATAGTATCATATTTCCTTTATTGTTCCCTCTGCATATAAAAGAATGGGTTGGGTTAACAAGTGTCTATATCAACTTCAAAGGCTAAAATTGTTGGTCCCAAAAGGGTCTACAAGAATACTAAACAGTTTGTAGAAGGGGGGGATGAATACAAACACCGAGTTTTCAAATTTAAAATATATATTGATAAAGAAGATCAATACAGATTTTACAAGATTGTTTACGGAAAGATAAGGTAAAAGAAACCTATCTAAACAATCTTAAGTTACACACAAAGG